GGAGGCCACGGTGGAGCAGGAAGACTAGGAGGCCATGGCGGAGCAGACAGTTCAGGAAGCCATGGCGGAGCAGACAGTTCAGGAGGCCACGGCGGAGCAGGGAACTCAGAAGGCCATGGCCGGACAGCCTCGGTGGCCTTGGCCTCGCCACTCGGCCCACCCCCCACAAAAAAATCATTTGGGAGAATATCATCTTTAGAGGCCCTCTGTAGGCCTAACTTGGGAACTGTGGCCCTCCCTGGGCATGACTTGGGGACTGGAGTCCTCCTTGGGCTGGACATGGGAACTGGAGCCCTTTCTGTGCTAAACTCGAGGACAGGAGCCCTCCGTGGGCTAAACTCGGGAACAGGAGCCCACTCTGGGCTGGATTCAGGGACTGGGAAGCGCTTACGAGGAGCTGGCACTGGAGGGTGCTCTGGAGGAGCAGGCAGGAGCAAGCAGGCGGAGAACAGAGCGACTATTTCCATCGCCGTGGGGAGAAACAAACAGGAAACAAAAAACTTTTCAAAAAAGGAAAACAAACAAGGAGAGAGGGGGCGTCGCTTTCTGTTCTGTATTGGTCCGGTATTCTGTGACTCTGCTACGTGTGTTTTCCTGGTTCCCTTGATACAATTAAATCTCCTTATTGATGTACTCTTTATCTCCTCGTTCCTCGCTCCGCACTCTCTCACAGTAGCAACGTGTAGCTTACTAGTGGACAAGGTAAGACTCAAGATAACTTCAAGACCAGCACTTTATTTTATATCTATTAAAACCTCAATTTAAACATTCATTGATTTTTATGGAATAGGCCTAAAAAGAAGTAGGCTTTTTGTTTTATCAATGAATGCTGCTCTATTCTGAAGCCGGTTTTCTTTTCCCCCAAAATTTGGAGATTGGGGCACCACAATACAGTCCCACATAGAACACAAAATATGTCCATTTCATTCCATAACGACAAGGATGAAATGCCTTAAAATATTATTTGGTTTCCATTTTGTCTCATTTTAATTAAGAAAAGCATTTTTGTTTTCAAGAATATGCTGCTTATAGAAATAATCTAGTTGCATAATGTAAATCTGTATAATAGATATAATATAATAATACAATAAAACATTATTTTAAAAGACAATGTAGGCTACATGATCAGTAAAGTTTTGTAACTGGAATTTGTCTGAAAGTTTAGCAATAGAATTTCCTTGTCTTTTGTTTATAAAAGAAGAAAATCACAACTCAAAAACAACTTTGCTTTGACATTTAATCATTAATGCAGCTGAAATACTTTTTAAAAATTTTATTAAAATGTGAGAATCATTTAATTTAAATGTAGATAATTGTCTTTATTAACCCTATTCTTATTTTATGATAATAAACTACATGTAATGCAATAAATAAATAAAAAAACGGATTATGTCATATAAACTACCATTCAAAAATTTGGGGCCAGATTATACTCACCAAGGCTGCATTTATATGATCAAAAACACATTCAAAATCGTTGAATTAATTAGAATTAAATTCCATTGTAAATTAGAATTAAAAAAAATATTTTAATATATTTAATTATTTTCTGTAATGGCAAGGCTCCATTTTAAGCAGAAGAAACAATGATAGTTTTCTTTTTCTGGATTCTTTAATGAAAAAAAAAAACCATATATTATCTACGGGCACCTATGAGTCACTTCAACATTTTGTCCATAAATTTGAGTAAATTCTGTAAAACTATGCAAATATACAGGACATTCATAGACACTTGATATGAGCAAAAGCTTGGTCACAATACGGCAGACAGCAACAGTTGGGTTGTTCAGTACTGTAGGTAACATTTTAAGCTGGGGCTTAGCTAAGGTTCAGCTGAACTTCACAGCAGCATAATGAACATCATCTGTGGTTGAATGAACAGCAGTAGGAACCGAAGCTGTGTTCTTTGTGTGAGACTGCTTGAAATTAATAGTTGAATAATGAACGTCCTGATCCTTTATGTGAACTTCTTGTGTGCAGACCGTAGACAAGGCTACAGCATTATCATACAGAGCAGCAGAACCCGACTGAGAGTTTGGGCAGAAAAGAGGACAGAAAACAAAATATCAGTGACCGAACGCAAAATATATTTTAGCATGCGCATGTGAAATTAAATCCGTTTGTTCAGATCCTCTCACCTGTACACTCCTTTTATTGTCCTCATGTTGTTTAGGTGAATTAGTCTTTCTCCTCCTGTTTAAAAGGCATCATGTCAAAAAAGATTTTAAGTATCTAAAAGACTGAAAGACTTCTTCCTCACAATCCAAACAGCCAACCAATTGCGATATGATATCACATTTTACTGTATGATTTGTTGCCCTGTGTGTGTAATAACAGCAACATAGCATAACATTAGTGATATATTAGCCTATTTTAGCTAGATGAGTGACAGCTGCCTACATACAACTGATCTTTTGCTCATTTCCCTTTTTTCACGTAAAATAAAGGGAATAAAGTGAAAATGAAATGAATGAGCTGAAACGCTGGAGTTTTGTTCAGTGTGCACGCTCGGTGACTGAATTCTGCGCTCTTGTGAATTCTCTGATCATAAACAGCAAAGTGCAGATGTGCGTGTGATGTAGGCCTCACAAGTAAGAGATTAATTTCACAGTGTAGACAGCTTCACTGATTATAACGGGAGTTTTTTGAGAGTGGTTAAACTCGCGCTAGACTATAGTCATATATTCTTTCATAATTTAGCCTAAATGTTCTTTGCTCGCTTTCGGTATATTTTTTATTCGCTGTTTGAATAACTGTGGAAATGAAAGCGTAGCTTACAATGTTTTTAGAAAACTGATCAAGTTAAATACAAATTCATTTGTATTAAAGTATTTTATGACATGGCCCCCATATCTGGTACTTGCTTATAAGGGTTTATGATACTCATTACCTCATTGAGTTTACGCAGATCCATGAATATGCTACCTAGTTCCCGCCTTAACTCATTTGCACTAACTCAGACCTGTTCCACTTTTACAGTTTCACAGTTAAAGGGGTCATTTGGTGTAATGCAATGTGTTTACGCAGTTTAAGGTAAAAAAAAAAAGTATTTTTCAAAAACTGTACATTATTGTTACTCCTCTATGCCCCGCCTTTCTGAAACGTGTACATTTTTACAAATGAGTAAATTCTGTAAAACTATGCAAATATACAGGACATTCATAGACACTTGATATGAGCAAAAGCTTGGTCACAATACGGCAGACAGCAACAGTTGGGTTGTTCAGTACTGTAGGTAACATTTTAAGCTGGGGCTTAGCTAAGGTTCAGCTGAACTTCACAGCAGCATAATGAACATCATCTGTGGTTGAATGAACAGCAGTAGGAACCGAAGCTGTGTTCTTTGTGTGAGACTGCTTGAAATTAATAGTTGAATAATGAACGTCCTGATCCTTTATGTGAACTTCTTGTGTGCAGACCGTAGACAAGGCTACAGCATTATCATACAGAGCAGCAGAACCCGACTGAGAGTTTGGGCAGAAAAGAGGACAGAAAACAAAATATCAGTGACCGAACGCAAAATATATTTTAGCATGCGCATGTGAAATTAAATCCGTTTGTTCAGATCCTCTCACCTGTACACTCCTTTTATTGTCCTCATGTTGTTTAGGTGAATTAGTCTTTCTCCTCCTGTTTAAAAGGCATCATGTCAAAAAAGATTTTAAGTATCTAAAAGACTGAAAGACTTCTTCCTCACAATCCAAACAGCCAACCAATTGCGATATGATATCACATTTTACTGTATGATTTGTTGCCCTGTGTGTGTAATAACAGCAACATAGCATAACATTAGTGATATATTAGCCTATTTTAGCTAGATGAGTGACAGCTGCCTACATACAACTGATCTTTTGCTCATTTCCCTTTTTTCACGTAAAATAAAGGGAATAAAGTGAAAATGAAATGAATGAGCTGAAACGCTGGAGTTTTGTTCAGTGTGCACGCTCGGTGACTGAATTCTGCGCTCTTGTGAATTCTCTGATCATAAACAGCAAAGTGCAGATGTGCGTGTGATGTAGGCCTCACAAGTAAGAGATTAATTTCACAGTGTAGACAGCTTCACTGATTATAACGGGAGTTTTTTGAGAGGGAAGCGACTCGCGCTAGACTATAGTCATATATTCTTTCATAATTTAGCCTAAATGTTCTTTGCTCGCTTTCGGTATATTTTTTATTCGCTGTTTGAATAACTGTGGAAATGAAAGCGTAGCTTACAATGTTTTTAGAAAACTGATCAAGTTAAATACAAATTCATTTGTATTAAAGTATTTTATGACATGGCCCCCATATCTGGTACTTGCTTATAAGGGTTTATGATACTCATTACCTCATTGAGTTTACGCAGATCCATGAATATGCTACCTAGTTCCCGCCTTAACTCATTTGCACTAACTCAGACCTGTTCCACTTTTACAGTTTCACAGTTAAAGGGGTCATTTGGTGTAATGCAATGTGTTTACGCAGTTTAAGGTAAAAAAAAAAAGTATTTTTCAAAAACTGTACATTATTGTTACTCCTCTATGCCCCGCCTTTCTGAAACGTGTACATTTTTACAAAGCTCATCGTTCTGAAAAGCGTGGTGTGCTCTGATTGGCCAGCTATCCAGTGCGTTGGGATTGGCCGAACTCCTCAAGCGTGTGCGTAAATGTTACGCCCCTTACCGGGTTCAGGAAACCTTCCTCCGTAAAATGCGCTGCACACACTCGAAAATTTTGGTTGAACTGCTCTGGAACAGTTTTGTAAATAAAACTTAACCACTGATTTCTAGTTGTGTCCTCTTTTGGAAGGCCAAAGAAAGTAGTTTAGCTTTCACAACGAAACACACAGCGTCTCCATGGCATGCCTTCTTTCTTTGCGTAAACATTTGGGCGGTGTTATGCAAATCTTCCCACAGAGTTAAGTAGATTTGTGGGGGCGTGTTTGAATGAGGCGTTTTAGGAAGGCGTGTCTGAGCGTTCACTTTTATAAAGAATATCTCTTTGGGTTTGAGACTTTAATCTTTGCGAATTTACAGATCTTCTGTATGCACAAACAGCTTTCAACACTCCAAAGACAAATGAAAACAGGAAATCGCATATGACCCCTTTAACAGAAGTAAACGCTACACAACGGCAGTGGCAATCTTGGATTAATAGTTATCTCTCTGTCATTCACTATTTTCTAGAATGAATTTTCGAGTGTGCGAGTGTTTATTTGCGATGTATTCAAATTCTGAATGGATTACAGCCTAGAAAGAGCGCTCCCCTTATAACCACCAAAAAGCTATCACTCCTCTTAGTTAATCGCGATTTCATTAATGTTATAATCAATGCACAGTTAATGTCCTAGTTACACCGTGCCACCTTCCTTGTTATAGTGAGAGGATTCGGGAGTGCACAGAACTCATCACTGAACAGAACTTTTTAAGCGGCGATGTCAGGGTTAGGGATGAAGGATGGAGCGAGGACTCAATATTGCAGGAATATAAGGGCTTTATTAAAGGCAAAAACAAAAAAAACTACCCTATCGGGGAAAAAACAGCTGGCAACATGACTGGATGGCAGGACAAGGCACACGACAGGGAAACAATCACAAGCCATGTGCTTGAACAAAAGACACGAACACGCAGCTAATGAGAAAACTGATAAGCCGCACTAAACAGCACAAGACAAAACAAGACATAAAAGCACGCAGCATACAACAACACAAGACAACAAGAAAAGCACACGGCTGAACACAAACCGCGTGCTACACAATACACAACACACGTGGACAGAAGAGCGCATGGCCGAGCAAACTCGAGACCACACGCTCCCACAACAGACAGAACATGGAGCGCGAGTGTCCGGCCCCCGACGCGAAATTGAAACTCAGCCAGACATGAGTGCCGGGATCTGAACACCACGCTCCAACATGAAACAGGACACGCAGACGAGAGCGCACGGCTCGAGCACTCTTGAAGCCGCGCGCTCACATGAAAACAATGACATGACGGGAGTGTCAGGGCTCGGTCACAAAACCATGAATTACACTAGACCGAAGTGACAGAACCCTGACAGGCGAGTGGATTTTGACTAACTTAAGAGCTTCTGATTGGCCACTGCATTCAAGAAAACATATATGTGTGTGATTAGCTACATTACTCAATGCTGCAAAAACAGGATTTAACTAGATTTAAAAACCCCACCCTGCAAGTTGACAGGATTGGTTACATGTTTGTGACAGCAGGAAACAGGTGCTTCAAACAGCCATTTTGGCACACCGCAGTTTTAAGGAGAAAATAGTCGCCTGACTGATGAACTTGCACATGGTTTGTCTTTAAGCATATTAAAAACGCCAGACACACATGTAAACAACATTAAAAACTTGAGTTTCACACAGGGGGTCTTTAAAAAAACAGAAGAAATAAGGGTAGAATAAAAGGCTGTCAAAACTTGTGCCGTTTCTTCTGTGTGTAGCACCTACTGCTCAAGGATCTCAATAGTTGGAAAGAGTTCACATGATCCCCGATCATTTCAGTCTGACTTTAACAACTAGGTCTGGCAGAATTCCCACAGCAAATAAGAAAGCACAGCTGCTGATGCAAGTCGAGATTGAAAATTGAAATTTAGTCATTTTAATGTTACGTTTTTAAAAATACAATATTTTGAAAAGTAGATATCTGGAGTAGAAAACTAATTCATTTAATTTCACCTCAGACCTTGCATGTATGCATTTTCTTCTTGTCACTGCAGGCTTAGAGAAATGTCCGCTTAGAAGACGAGCTAGGTGTGAGACAGTATTTACTGGTTTAAATAAGTAAACATTATGAATGAAAGGTAACTGAGTTTCTTCAGGTTTCCTTAACATTTTCAAGTTATCTCTGTACAATGCCTAATAAAATAGTGTTTATATGCACAGCTTTATACTGCATAGTATATGCACAGAATTTTCATTCATACTGTCTGCTGCTTTTGTTGCCATCAGTGTTGTAAATTTTAACTGCTTGGTGGATGGAAAAATAAGAACAATTTGAATAAGGTATCTGGAATTATTTGACTTTTTGATTCTTAGTTTAAGTATTTCAAATGTTTTTAATTGTATTCTGAGGGTTTCTTCCTTTTAGACTAGCCCGTTACAAAGGTCAGTTTAAACATCGGTAAAATAAGTTGTACATCCCTAGTTTGCAGAGAAGCCCTACAAACTGACACAATAGATGAAAACAAATATTTACCTGTACCACAGGACTCCTATGAGTGCAAGAATCAGAAACACGGACAGTATGATTACAGTGCTTAGTAAAACTGTGTTGGACTCGATTTCTCGGGCTTCTAAAACAAGAAGCATGAAACAAAAACAAAGATATACTCAAAGAAAAAGAGAAATATACTTATGATATTAAAACACTAACTAAATATGAAGTACTTTATCTGAATGCTGCAAACATTTCACACTGAAGCACATGTATCATGAGAGATGTGTTACCTCCTACAGCACAGGAATACTGGTGAAGCTCTTCATTGCTGACTGAGTCCAGGTACAGCTTGTTGTCTTTAGTGAATCCATCCGTTACCTGTTGTCCGTTCTTGTACCAGATGTAAGTATGTTTGTCGTTCAGAGAGCATTTAGTTGAACAGCTTAATATCACTTCCTGTCCCTCTGATACAACAGATGGGCTACTTTTCACCTGAGCATCTGAAAAAAAATAGCCCATTAGACATTATAAAGGAAACATTTTGAACAATCAGTTTATAATGATCAGTTACCTGTAACAGTAAGAATGACTCCAGGTGATCCAGAGTATTGGCCGTTTGTCGTGTTAGTGATGAACCTGAATCGATATTCTCCAGAGTCGCTGATCTTGAGCTCTTTGATTCTCAGTTTGTTCCCCACATACTCCACACGACCAGCAAACTGATGCTCCTCACGCAGATCCTTAAAGTCACCAGGCTGAACGTAACGCCAGAATGTTTCATATACTGTATAACCAGAGGGATGTGAGTATGTGCAGGAAATGTCTACTGTTGAGCCCACCAAAGCACAGACTCTTCTAGAGGTGTAAATCACATCCCAGCAGCCACTCTTAGAAATGCCTGAAAGAGACACAGAATACTGCTGTGAAACTCACAATTAAGGTCTGTTCACGTCAAGATGAATGTTCAGTGTAAAAATTAAATGTGATAAACATTTTATGATTTTAATTTGACGAAATGGCTGTTAAAGTCACCATGAAATCAAAATTGAAAATTCTTATTTTTTAATGGAATACGGTAGTGTTTATTATAAATAATTTAACTGTGCACTTCATTATTTTTTTTTAAATTCATGTGCCCTCAATCTTTAATCAAAAACGTTAATCTCCCCTCCCCCTCAAAACGACTCATCTTCTCTTCCAGCCATGAGCTTTGGAGCAAGGGCGGAGCTAGTGACGTGAGGGGTAAACGCTGGGATAAACACAGGGGGAAAAACTGAAGCTTATGCTTCACTTTATAGCACTGACACCAGTCATGAGGGAGTACGCTACCCTTAAACATTGAAAAGATATTACGACAACATTACTATTAGGACATCGCAAACAATTTTTTTTTCATGAATATGACTTAACCTGGGTTAGGGCAATTGGAATAAATTATTTATTAATAAATAACGGATGAAAACTAATTATATTTTTGAATACTTCAAATGCAATACCTTTAAATGTGTCCTCATATACTCACGTACGAACAAACACTGATATTATATTAGTGCTAATTCAATAAAAATGTTAAGTGTCACTCACACACAGGAGAGGAGGAGTTCATAAGATCTATAGTAAGAAAACAGGAGTAACTGGCAGCCGCTTCGAATGAAACTTCAATGCTCCTGGAATGACTAAGATCTTTTACATATTGTCCATTTTTTTTCCAGTAGTAATTCTTAGGTCTGGATGTCAAATCACAGGAAGTCTCACAGGTGAAACCAAAAGGTTTGCATTGATGGAGAGATTCTCATCTGACAAACCAAGTGATTCACTATGAGAGCAGTGAGGCATCTCTCCTTAAAGTCTAAAATGTCTTTAGTCTGTGTTGGAACAAATTTTGATGAAATAACTGCAATCTATTAACGCAATAATCTTACCTGAAATGTGTAGAAGTAGGATCACTGATGCGATTCTGAAGTCCATGCTTTAACTTTCAAAATAATTCACTTCTTTGTCTAGAGTAAAACAACAAGAACGTAGTGAGGCAAGCACTCATTAATTTCAAGCCATTTATCACAATAGCTCCTACATTAACTGCATTTGTTTCAAGTTAAAACATGGGTAAAGAGATGTGGTGTCAATGTCTGAAGTTTAGCAGGCAATCAGATGATCTTATTTCCTTCCTTTTTCTCCAGTCTTTTACCCACTTGTTGTTGGGCAACTGCAGTTAACCACTCACTTCTTGAGCATCTCTATGTTTGGAACTTACCAGTTAAATTTTAGATTTTACTTTCCCAAACAGTTGAGTTAATGACAAACAAGGATAAATCTTGTTTAAAACATGTTTAAAATTTACAGAAATGTGTTTGTTGATTTCATATGGTTTTGAAAAATGGCTAGGCTTTAATGACTATTAAATTAAATTAACTATTTTCTTTACACCCTAAATATGAGTGAGTGAATGTCAATATCTTCAAAAATGATTAAAAATATGTTTTAAAGCATTTTTGTTTTATTATTATAAAAAAAAATTCATGAATTAATTTATAAATATATTTTCGTATGGCACCACATGACAGTCCCACCACATGATATTTCGTAACCCAAAATAAACTTGCTTTGTCATAAAAACATTCAATTTTCTAATATTTTACGTGACTTATTGACTGTCACTATGATGTAATTTTCTGTTTTGTTTTGCCATTTAAATTGTTTTTCAAATATAAATACACAGTGAAGCAGGTTTGATAATAGTATTTCTGTCAGGTCCACTATCGTCAAAATGATTAACACTTTGCATACAGTGTGGATTGGTGGTATGGTTCTGTTCTGGTCAAAAACTCCCCGCTCATCCATGCAGCCTGTCATGAATGAGCAGGGAGAGCAGTAATAACCCCCAAACAAACCATAGGCTGTCACACCCCAACCACAAACTGATGATAAATCTGAAAGGAGAAGCATGTCCTTCTGAAATTGCAGAGGCTGGGGCAGCATGGCCCTTACAGGAGAAGAGTCGCAGCAAAGGGGTGCTCGTCTTTACAAGCAGATGAGAATAGCGGCATACCCCTTTAATGCAGTACCTGAAAAGATTAAGCAACAAGCATATGGTCAACACCCAAAGATTAAGCAACAAACATATGGTCAACACCCAAAGATTAAGCAACACACATATGGTCAATAAGCAACAAGCATATGGTCAATACCCAAAGATTAAGCAACAAACATATGGCCAATACCCGAAGATTAAGCAATAAGCATGTTGCCCTTACCCAGATGATGTTGTTAGTATTTGAATAATCAACCTTTAGTAGCGAAATTTAGTACAACTTCAGTGATGATTTGTGGGCAAAGAATCCATGTCAATGATATACTGCATGGCTGCAAGAAGCGGTGCTCGCTCAGGTCTTCCAATCTTGCAGCTCATTTCAATCGGTGCGGTGAATTTGCATTAAAGTTCACGAACTGGTGAGAAACGGTGTGGGGAACAAACCCCTCTAGCAAAGATTTTCCGCTTCCCATAGAGACAGAATTCGCCATCTAATTTGCTCCTGTGTACAGGATTCATCTATCTACTAATTTAATCTATGATACAATGAAATGTGCTCATTTATTTTAAGTTGATTCTCAAAAATCCGTGATTTTGAGTAAGGGGTCAAGGATCTGCAAGAAATGGGACCCAAATGCAAATGAGCATGACATGGGTATTTTATTAACAAGACGTAGACTAGAACAGCAGGGGGAATGAGGAGTGAAACTATCCAAACAGCGGGGCAGGGCAGATGACACAATATGGGCAGGAGGGACGACCACTGAGACAGTCCGAGATGGCCACGGACTAGAGCACGGAGGAGGAGGAAGAACCTTGCAGGAACACAGGGAACCCGTAGCTTGAAGTGAACTAAATTTCCCAATCAGTTGAGTCAATGGCAAATAGGGATAAATCTTGTTTAAAGCATGTTTCAAATGCACAGAAATGTGTTTGTTGATTTCATATAGTTTTGAAAAACCTTTACACCATTTTCAACAAAAGTAAAATTAAACTCTAAAATGTGATGTAATTGTGACCATCAAAAAACAAAAAATATATTTTCTTTACACATTGAATATGACTGAGTGAACATCTTAATCATTATCTTCAAAAATGTTTTAAATGTATTTTCTCATGAATTATTGTGAATTAATTTAGAAATATCTTTACAATTGACACCACATGACAGTTGCACCACACGCTATTTTAAATAAATAAAAAAAGATATAGGAAAGCTACTTCAGGCATTTTAGTTAGGCTTTTTTCCCATTTCAATATCAGAAGGATTAATAACATTAAAAAAAACAGTTCATTTGATTGTCCACAATATGATGGATATGCACTGGAAACCAGTTAACAATTTACCAGACCTAATCTGAAACCACAATATATTGAGTCGTGTGCATTTTAATTAATAATTTAATATCCAACTTAAGCCTTAAAAGATATTTTAAGAGTAATGCTGCCTTCACACGCTGTCATAATTATCATAAAAATGTGTTTCCTTGTCAAAAATTGCACATGAACAGCCACTCAAGTCATATTTTCAACTGGGACTGGTAACTGGGAAACTCTGAGATCATTTTGATACCCGAGTTTTTGAGTTGGGCGAGTCATAAACTTTAAATATGGCAGAGGAGAGAAACATAGCTGTATTAATATAAAGTTTTATTCGTTTTTCTCACAACATCTACATTGCTTTCTTCTACCATTACGGTCATGTACAATATATTTACGTATAAAAATAAATGATACTTGCACGTCTCGTCTGTCTGAAAGAAAGGCTTGATGCAGTCCAAAGGTTCAAGTTGATCTTTGCTGAAGTTAGTTGATGAAAAAGAACCAGTTTGAGTCAGAGAATCTTGGTGAATGGAAAAGTCAAGGCCGAAGCCTGGCACGAACTTAGCGGGTTGCAGAAGCGTTCTAGCTCATGTCTTCATCTTAGAATCTAACCGAACCACTGACTAGGGGCGGGTCACTGATGTGAGGCCTTTAAGGTCTGAGAAGATTAGCGCCAGTGAGAGTCTCTCTCTTGCATTCCTTTGAGCAATAAAACCAGTGTTATCAGCCGTGGTTGCCATGGAACCTGGTGTCTTTCTGAGGTGTTAAGACGCATTTCGGGGGAAGGGTCCATAGGTCCTCATATGGCTTGTTAACTGAGGGGGGTTACAGAGTTAACTATAGCTAACAAAATATATATTTTGTGTTTGATTGGTCCAGACGCTACACTGTGATGTAATAGACAGTGACATATCAATGACTGTTAGTCTTCATAATCAAGCAAATCTAAAACAAAACAAAATGATAGTCCAGGTTTTAGGTTTCCCCCCTCCATATGCTAAGAAGAAAGTTTTGTTCTCTAAATATACTTTAAGGATCCACTTTAATAAAGTGATGTCTCCTCTTTATTTTTGCAAGTGGTCACTTTATTTTATATTTCAATGGATAAACTGTAACCACAGTAACGATGCACAGAAAAATCAATAAAATAATTTAATAAGCATACAAACTGGTTATTAACCAGGATTTGTGTTCTAATATTTTGGGCCCAAGCAATGCTGTGTCCTGTTTTTAGATTTTCAGGCCTTCAAGCAGGGGGTCGAGTTTCGCAATCATGCATTAAGTACGTAATAAAAACAGTGTTTCATCTGACCGTAAAAATTAAGTTTATTAAAAAGGAATGGATGGCTTTTAATTTGTATTGGTAAGGGTTTTGTGAGTTGTCCTATGTTTTTTTTTTCAAAAGTAATAGTAGAAGTTTTGGTTTCACTTTATTTTGATGGTCCCTTTAACACATTCTGTTGACTATAAGTAAGGTTGCACCTATATGTCTACTAACTCTCATTAGAGTATTAGTAGAGTATTAGTAGACTGGTAGTGTTAGGGTTAGAATATGTTGACATGTACTTGGAAAGTTATAGTCAGTAGAATGTCTGTTGGGAGACCATGACAATAAAGAGTTAGCAGATATTAAGCAAACAGTCTATTAATACTTTGATGAGAGTTAGTAGACATGTAGGTGCAACATTACTTATTGTCAACAGATTTTCAAAAGGTACCATCAATGCATTTGGAATGAGCAAGATCATTTGAATATTGTCAGTTTTTTTTTCTTCCCAGTAGTAAATCTGAGGTCTGGGTGTCAAATCACAGGAATTGCCTCACGGGTCAGTTCTACTGTCTCATTTCTTGGGTCTGTAGATGCAGAATTAATCCTCACTTGCATGTCTGAATAGAGTAAAAATGAAGAAAACGTAATCACAGTAAACAATTGTACGTGCAGGAAAACGCTATTATGGACAAAGGCATCCAGCGATCGTGGTAGCTGAGCTGAATAAAAAGCAGAAGACAATTTACATTTTCCTACTACGTAGTTGCCTAGTCACTGTTGTTTATTTCATGTGGTTTATGTGGCCGCTGAGCCAGGCAATGTCCAAACGTTGTTTTTACTATCCACTACTCTCCTGCTGATTTGATAATGGTGACGTCTGTCAGATGCGTGCGTGTGTGTTTGGTGTGGCCGCCGTGCTAATGTTCTTATCGTTATGTTCTTAACACTGCTTATGATGACATACAGGCGTATGCTCTTATTAAACAGTGGTGTTTTCAAGCAGGTGTAGTTGTGTTGGCCTATTTTCATAACAAA